ACTTGACTGTTGGTCAGGAATGCCATGCAATTACAGCAACATTCTCCCATGCCAACACAAGACTGAGATACTTCAGAAAGTACAAATCATCCATAACAACTGAAAACACCAGAGGAAATACATACATAGCAAACTTTACTGTAACTATATACACTTGTCAACAAAACCATTGCAATCCCTGAAGCAATACTCCTACATTTCTTCCTGTTGATACATTTGAACAAGTTTAGTAGATCTGTTTGGGAGAGTTACCAAAATCCTAAGGAAGTTCTCATCTTACCTCTCGTATTTAATTTGCAATCACAAGCTGATAATTCTCTAAACTGCTTCCTCTCCAAAGACTAATACAGTCATCCCTCTCAAAATAACAACCTTCCACTCAATGTAGAAACACCTTATAATTTCTACTGCTCTGTTTCTTTCATCAAGTACATCTTTCTAAAGTAACTGTACAGATCCTTAGGGACTTACCCTTTAAAAGAACCACCGAAGGTAATTCCACAGCAGTACACTTTTACCCCCATTCACGCACACTTAAAATTAATCCTAATAAGTTATCTCATATTAAAGTACATATTATTTCTAAACATATAACCCAAAATACATTTTGTCACCACTGTCTTGAGCAATGCCATAAGCAAAACTAGTAGAACCAAAAAAACATACTTTGCTCTGAAGCAGGATGCGCAATTCAACCATCTCATCTGTGTTCCGAGATCTTTTGAAGGCCTGCTCTTCCTCCATATCTTCTGCAGGACGTTTGCCTGTAGAGAGGTCCATAGGGGAGAAACACAGACATTTATTTAACTTTCAAAGTCGTAATGAAATGGAACATGTGCCAAAGTTATGCTCTATATTCATAATACATACTTTCCTATTAGCCCAACACTACTTACTGATGCCTGTTCTGAGCATCCATAGCGTGGAAGTGGGTCTTTACTTCACCAGCCTGCATATCAACCTAACCACTAAAAATTGTTTTGAAATCTATGAACTATGGTTTAAATGAGAATGTTGCACACAGCCAGTGAGAAATCCATGACACGCTGTTTAAAACAGTTAAGTATCACCCACTTACTACTTATTCATAATTTACAACTTGGAAAAACCTTTCAGTCAAAAAGCTCAAGTGTAGTTTGTCCAACACTGAAATACTGGTGGACTAATACTAAAGTAGCACTTCAAATACTGTCTGGGAAACGAATCAAACACTAACGCCCTAACTTCCTCAGTAATTATGCCCAAGAAGTTTCTCATGAAGATCTTTAGAGGTATTTTACATATTTATACTCCTGCATGTAAAAACTTCTATAAACGAAATATAACTAATGGATATGCCTGACAGTATTCTTAAATATTCACACTCTCCACACAAGTACCGAATATTTAATTATTAAATAGTTTCAAATCTTTAGTCATAACTTTCAGCCATTCATCCCCTGTCTAAAATATGCCAACAGAAAGATTTATGCTTTAAAAGCATGTGTAATGATCTGGTCTCAAGATTTCAAGAGGTTATTTCTAAAAGGAAATAGTCCTTTAAAAAATTTACCATTTGTCTCTGTGTTGGTGAAGGTCTCTTCCTGTTGTTCAGTCTCCATTGCCTTATTCGCTTAGATGGGCAGGCAAAACCTGTTGGAAGAATAAAATAGCTATTACATCTACTTTGTAAAAAGGCAAACTGTACATCGTGCTAAAGGGGAAAAGCAAAAAGAAATGCCTGCTTCTAGAACTTACCGCTATTATATATCTTTGCAGAGAAAAACTCAAGTATGCTGGGCGGGATCAAAATCCGACAGCCTATTGCTTCAAGAGCCTATGAAAACAGCATATATCAGTTGTGACTCTGATCACTTACAGTTCTGATTCTCACTACAGCCAAAAACCAGAGGTTTGAACTGAGTTTTTGAAGCAAAATTCTTCTTTATAGAAGAAAAAGCACACCCAGGCCAAACACACCACTAAGAGGAGATAAAACCTAAGCCTGCAAACCTACAGATAAACAATTAGTCTGAATTACATTTTGGGGTCATGTACCAGTTTTAAGTAGCCACATTTACTAAAAATTATTTTCAGATACTTAAAATGAACATGCATCCAGCTCCAACTTTCAATATGTTATATGACACATGCCTTGGATTTACTTTTTAAGGACACTACATAAAATCTGCTCCTGCTGTCTAGTTCTAAACAATTTAAACTAAAAAAAAAAAAAAAAAAGCCCTATTATGGTAATTGTCAGCATTAGTTTTATAATTTCTCTACCAATGTACTAGCAGGCATTTTAGAATGTTTCAAGTACAGTAGATGAACTAAAGACAAATTACAACATCTAGCCACATTGGGAGAAAAATCTTTTAGAAATACCACCATCTGCAGTTATATATAATTCTCTGTACACACACAACCAAGAACCTCAAAAGCAGCTGAACTTCACTAGGATTTTCTGAAATATGAAACTTATCTGTGACCTGCTTTTGTTAAGTTGATCTCAGAATACTAGTAATCACATTAGAGAGAGGTCTAGACAAAAGAAGTAACTTTGCAACTTACTCTTCAAAAATGTGTTTCTACAGGTAACAACAGCCAATCAATCATATATTATATTTTATTGATTTCCACTGCCTCAACAAATAGTAGCCACTCATTCTGGTGTCCGCGGAGGGAAAAAAAAAACTAAATAAGGTGCATGCAGCTTTGTTAATGTACTCTCAGACAGCTGTTAATTTGCAACTACTGCCCTGCTTGTACAGCCTAACAGCAGGCACTGCCTTCCCAGCCCACGCTGGTCTTTCCAGACACTTAAAGTGAGCTAACGGGCACACACAGATTTAATGATAGCGAAATCTCTGCCAGACTTTGCCAAAATGCTGTTATGTGAGGGAGAGTAGGGAGAGGCTGGGCAGATTTTTACACGGCTTAAATAGCCCTTTAGGACCCCGGGTTATTTTATGTCCAATCATCCCAAGAATTCTAGGCCTGCGCGAGTGAACTGTAATACACTGTTCTGGGCTCCGTCTGCCCTAGTCGCACGTATTTTACCCGCCTAGGCAAACCTCCCCAGCCGCGGGCACGTAAGGCGCTCCCCGTTGCCGCACTCGGCTGGGTAAATCGAGGTCGCGGGATGGAACTGACGGATGCCGTGTTTTTGCGAACACCGAAAGGACAAAGCGGCCACGGAAGGCGGCTCCAGCTACCACAGACGTGAGCCAAGAGCCGGGAAACGCCGGCCGCGCCTCAGCCCCGCTGCCTCCGGGGCGCAGCGGCTCCTCCTGGCCGCCCCTCTCTCTCTCTCTCTCTCCCCGCCCGCGGCCCGGGCGCCCGCCGCCGGCCCGGCTTCCGTCGCCCGCCCGCCGCTGGGGAGGCGATCCCGGGCGGCGGAGCTCCGGCGGCGTTACATAACTCCCGCGGCCCCCGCCTCGCCGCCCCGGCGGCGGAGGGGACCACCAGAAATGGCGGCCGCTGTAATGGCGCCTGCCCGCTGCTAGGCGGAGCCGGCAGCGGAAAAGCCGCCACCACCACGCGGTCGCAGGGAGATTTACCCCCCTCTGCCCAGGGAGACACAAAGGAGGCGCCCGGCGGGCCTGGCCCCGGCGCGGCCGACGGAGCGGGACGGGCTCCCGCCGCCGCCGAACGCGGCGGGCCAGTCTCCGCCTCGCCCCGCCGGCCTCCCGCCTCCGTGCAGGCGGTGGCCGAGGGCGCTTTTCCCTCCGTCCGCCATAATTCGCGACAACTCGCCCCGGGCATGAAGTTACCACGGGCGGGCGCAGGAAGGCTCCCCCGCCCTTACAGAGCACCCGCTAGAGCTGCCGGCCTCCACCGCGCCGCCCCTCCGGGAGCCACGCTGGCTGGGGCCACCGAGCACCCCGGGGCCGCCCGCAGAGAAGGCGGCCGCCTTCTCGCCTTCCCCTGGGGGCGGGAGCGGCCCCCAGGGCCCGCGGGCTGCCCTCCGCCGCCGGAGGGGCGACCCCCAGCACCAGCGGGCGCGGCGACACCCCCGCTCTTCTTCTCACCCTCGCCCCACGCTGCGGGGCGCGGCGGCGGCCCCCGGGGGGGGTTGAGGCCCCACGACCTGGGAGGCGCGGGCCTCCCGCATCGCTGTGTCACGCAGCGGTGCCGAGAGGGGGGGACGATGGCAGCGGCGGGGGCCCCGGTGAGGCCCAGCCCGGCCCGGCCCGGCCGGGCCTCTGTCCCGTCCCCGCCCCCGCCCCCAGCGCGCACGCAGCGCCCCCTCCTCGTCGGGCCCGGCGACACCTCGCCGCGGGCTGCGCGTACCTGCGCCCGCCGCCGCCGGCCCCACCGCGCCCGGGAAAGAAAGGGGAGCAGCCCCCCGTCGCCAACGCGCACCTCCACCACCGCCGCCAGGCGATTGGCCCCGCCGCCACCCCTCTTCGCGGGCCCTTCGCCGCCACATTGGGCAAGCCCGCTGCCCGTCAGGGGACGAGAGGCGGGCCCCCTCGCTCCGCCCCGCCCTCCGTGAGGACCACGGCGAGACGCGCTCACCCCCCGGGGGGGAGGCCGCGCCGCCCGCCCGCCGCGCCGCCGGCGACGGCCGATCGGTTTCTTTACCTACCCGGTGGGAGCCGCGCTGGGAGCGGTGCAGGCAGCGGGGGGGCGGCAGAGGAGAGCCAGAACAGCCCCAATCGTGAGAGGAGAAAATGGCGGCTGGGAAAACTCCGCCTTCCGCTCGCTGCCCGGAGCCGCCGGGGACGGGGGTGGGGGGGGGGGGGGGTGAGGGGGGGTGTGAGGGGTGGGGAGTGTAGGTGGGAGGGGCGAGGCGGGAGTCTCGCGAGGCTTAAAAGCGCGCGCGACGCGCTATGTCTATTGGCTGCTGCCGCGGGCGGCGTTTTCGGGAGCTGCGTGAGGGGGCTGCAGCCTTTTCTCTCTTCCCCCACCTCTCCTTCCCCCCCCCCACACCCTATTTCTCCTTCTCCCAAACCCGAAGTGGCGGGAGCCTAGGCCGCCCCGCCGGTACCGCCTCCTCGCCTCGGTAAGTGCGGGCGGGGTGGGACGGGGCGAGGGGCAGGGACTGGGGGTCCCCTCCGAGGGGCTGCGGAGTGCGACACGCACGCCACCCCACCCCCCCCCAGCCCGCTTCCCTTCCCCTCCCCTCAGGGCCCCGGCCCGCCGAGGCAGCGCCGCGCGAGTGGCAGCCTGGCGCTTTGCTTTGGTTAAATAAGTGCACGGTGTCCTCAGTGGTGGGCCTTCGGGGAGAACTTGGAGGCAGGGTGTTTTTTTCTTTTCTGCGGGTGACAGTGGCACATATACTCCAAACCTGCTGTTTCTTAACCATTCTTACGGTGGGAGGTTGAGCGCCTTGGTTATCCTTTCTAAGGGGTTAGGCATGATCCAGACACAGTTGGACAGTGTAATATCTCTTCATTTGTGTCAGTGATCTGGATGCAGCTGCTGTTACCAAGTTTGCTGATGATACCAAACTGGGAGGTGCTTTTGAGCCTCTTGAGGGACAAGAGGCCTTACAGAGGCATCTAGATAGATTGGAGCACTGGGCAATCATTAATGGCATGAAATTTAATAAGAACAAATTCCGTATTCTGTGCTTGGGATGGAGTAATGCTGGGCATGAGTACACACTGGGAGAGGAGTGGCTGGCGATCAGCCCTGCAGAAAGGGACGTGGGGGTGCTGGCCGACATGGGGCTCAGTGTGAGCCAGCGGTGTGCCCTGGCAGCCCAGAGGGCAAACCGCACCCTGGGGTGCATCAAACACGGCGTAACCAGCCGGTCAGAAGAGGTGATTATCCCGCTGTGTTCAGCGCTGGTGCGGCCTTGGCTTGAGCACTGTGTGCACTTCTGGGCCCTGTGATTAAAGAAAGATGAGAAGGTCCTTGATTGCGTCCAAAGGAGAGCAACAAAGCTGGTGAAGGCATGTCCTATGAGGAGCCGCTAACAATTTTGAGTTTGGAGAGAAGGAGGCTGAGGTATGATCTCATTGCTTCCTACAGCTTCCTGAGGAGAGCAAGTGGAGAAGGAGGTGCTGAGCTCTTCTCGCTGAGATCCAGTGGTAGGCCATGTGGGAATGGTTCAAACCTGTGCCAGGGGAGGTTTAGACTGGACATTAGGAAGCGTTTCTTTACCAAGAGGGCGATCAAATATTGGAACAGGCTTCCTGGAGAGGTGGTTGATGCCCCATGGCTGTCAGTGCCTTAAAAAGAGGCATTTGGACAGTGCCCTTAATAGTGGTATATCAAGCTAGCTTTCTGTTGTCAGATACAAAGATTTCATCCAGTTACAGTGTAAAAGTCACCCCTGTGATACAAGTGCTGACAAACACCAACTTGGTTCTGTTGTAGATGGGGTCTCTTCTGTCCATAACAGTGCTGATGAAATGTGAGAATAACTTCTGAGGTCAATTTCTAAAGTAAACTGGGTGTTAAGAGCAGCACTCACAGAAATAAAGCAAACAAACAAAAAAACCCAACCAAACAAAAAAGGACATATAACAACCTACTTCTGTTTTGTTTTGGTTTTTTTGTCCATTTGCTTTCCATCCATAACAAAAGTATTTCAGTTACATGCTTCTAATTAAATCAGTGGAAAAGGAGAACTCACCAAGCAGCGTTGCTTGTAGAAGTGTCTATAATTTCATGATACTACATGATGAGTAAACTGCACATACTTTAACGCTGACTGAAACTTTAAATATTGGAAATGGATGTTTGTTTTTAGTATCTGTATACCTGTTTTTATTTTAAATTGCTTCTGTATTGTCACACTTGGAATACCAGAACTTTGAATTGAGAGCAAATTTCTATATAATACGAACAAGAAACTTGTCATAACTGTACGTGTTGTCAGAAGAGTGAATATGTCTTTTTGGCTTTTGTTCTAGGAAATTCACTCTCTTAACTTAAAAGAAAATGTCTACATCTAACATTGCAGAAAGAGTGGAGTCCTGGCTTTTATCCAGATGGCATGTTAAAGTTCCTTTGATGTGGCTGGACGCATGTATTGATTGGATCCACAAAGAAAATAATAGTAGTAATTTAAGTCAAGATCAGATTAACAGGCAAGTATTTGAGCAATGGCTTCTTACCGATCTAAGAGATTTGGAATATCCCGTTTTGCCTGCCTACATTTTAGATACTCCCAGAGGAGTGTTGTCAGGCTTCTACTCCATACAGATTGATTCACTGGTTGATGTTAGCCAGCCAGTATATTCCCAGTTGCAGAAGCTAAGAGGGAAAAATACCGTAAATGAAGAAGTAACAGCCAGTACTCAGGCATTCCAGAAGCCCTGGGAAGCAAAGCCTACTCGAATGCTGATGCTGCAACTAACTGATGGGGTACATCAAATTCAGGGCATAGAGTATCAACCAGTGCCTGCCTTCCACAGTAATCTTCCTCCTGGAACAAAAATCACTCTACAGGGTGATGTTTCATATGGTCTTGGAGTCCTTCTGCTTAAAGTAGAAAATGTGAAACTCTTGGGGGGTGAAGTGGATACTCTTATGGAGGGTTATTCTCAGGAAAGAGTCCTTGCTAGATTAATTGGAGAAACTGAAAACCCTAATTCTGTTGGACAAGCTGGTCATGACCAAATTATTTCAAGGCCTGTGGATGCATTAGAACAAACCCTGGGCCCTTCAGATGAAGAGCTTTTAGCCAGTCTTGATGAAAATAATGAATTTGCTTTAAACAATGAAACATCTTTGGAAAGTGGATACTGCAGTAGAAGCAACAATTTTAGTACGGTCTCAGGTTCACTGACTGCACACGGTGGAAATGTTTTGCTGCAGGAATTTGGAAGTCCTTTGCCTCATTCAGATGAGCAAGTTTCACCTCCCATGGGATATGTCAATGACTTTTTAAATTACGCTCCTTTAGAAGATGACATTCTTTTGGAAGAAGAGATGCAAAAAGAGCTGGAAGAAGTGCCACCAGCGGTCATGAACAGAAACATAGGTTTAGTTAGCAAGAGACTTCCATGTGTATCTAGAAGCTCCTGTAATTCGTCATTAAATGTGACTTGCAAAAAAGGTTATGTGAAAAAAAGAGGTAAGCCTGTAAAAGCTTCCAACAATCAAAAGGCTTTTGGAAGAAGAGTATTTGACAGAGATGGAAAACGCATGAGTAGGCTTTCACAGCACAAGAGTGTACATGAGACCTCCAGTTCTGCAGATTTTTCGTTGGAGAATTTTCCTGAAGGGCAGTATGATACAGACCTAGATGAGAGCAGATGTAAATACCAGTACACTTCTGACAGAAGGATGTTAAAAGATGAGCCTGTATTTTTCTCAGAAATGGATCCAGAAGCACATCAGCAGAAGTATGGTTCACAGAACTTTGCTGGCAGAGCAGTAGAGGCACATTTAGATTTAGATTCTCCACCTTTTACATATCTTTCCCTTCTCCTTGCAAAAAAAACAGAAACTGTTACAATTCTGAAAGTTAAGGGGTTTATTGTTACGCTCACTGGAAACCTCACAAGCAGCAGTGGGTCCTGGAGTATAAATGCAAAAATTTCTGATGGTTCAGCTTATCTTGAAGTAGATTTTGCTGCTGATATTCTAACAAGTTTGATTGGCTTTTCAGTGCCTGAAGTTAGTAGGCTGAAAAAGGATCCAGCTTTCCAGCTGAAGCTTATGGAAGGTTTAGAGAATTGTCAAAAAGAACTGATAGATCTCTGTTGTTTGATGACTATAGAGTTTAATCCACTTCATTCTAAAGCCACTGTATTAGTTCTCCAGGATGTTAATGGAAGGCATCTAGAACAGTTGAAGAAACGTTTGAAGAAATAAAGTGTGCAAATTTACAGACTGTATATTAGAAAACATTTAAGTCAGATGTCCTCTGAAGGACTGCTGAAAGTTAAATTTTGAAGTTAAGTTTTATGTCTGTTCTCTTATCAGCAAAAATAATGGAGAAGTGAGAGGAGGGAAATGACTTGTTGGAGCAAAACTTAGTTTGTTTCTTATCATGGTAGTATTGAAAAAAAGTTTCAAATATTTCTGTCTTGATTTAAAATACTCATGTATCATTTTCATTCTGCAATAATCCTCTGTGTCCTTGACAAGTGATCTAGAGTAGCAGAATTTGTCAGAAAACGGATAACAATGAACAAACCATCTTGTTGTTATACTTTTTCAAGGTAGCTGTAGAAGACTCTCAGCCTTGTCTTGGAGGAAAGCAGTTGAGTAAACTTAGACAAAGAATTGTTTAAATGCAGTCACTTCTGACTATGCCAACCTGAAAACTCAAATATTTGGTGTGGAAGAACCTAAAGTATAGAGAAATGAAAGATTTTCTTCTAAATGTTCGGGGGAGAGAGAGTGAACAACCCTATACATACATACATAAGATTAAAAGAGGTATATTTAAAAAAAAAATAGAAGAATGACTACAAAGTATGTAGAGTCTGTTTCTTGTCATATTAATGTTAATCATTGCTAATAATTTTGAACTCACAGGCAACCTTACTCAGTAACTCTTATGATCACTTGTCTAATCTTTGCACAGAGTAGTCAAATATTTGTGTTACAAACCTGTCTTAATTTTGATGGATTTTTTTTTTCAATTTTTGCTTCTAGAATGTACAAAAAATAAATAAAAGTTTTCATTTAAACTTTAGTGTAATCTGTTTATTCACTTTAAAAGAAAAATCTACACCTTGTTGAGTGTATAAAGTATCAGAAATAGTATGACTGGGGGTTTTATTCCTCCTTTTCCTTCTTCCCATCCTTTTCCCTTCTCTTCATTTGTTTGTTTGTTTTTTGCTTTTCTTTGAAATTAAAAGAATTAAAATTCTGCCAGGTCTTGGGGACAAACAACAGGAGAAGACTGCACAGTGTTGATAGTGTTTGCAAAGAATGTAAAATTGGTATCCAGGAGATGGATTTTTCAATTGTACTGTCAGTATCTTTTTTTTTTTTTTTCCCAGAGCCTTTTTTCCTCTGAGCAATGTCTGTTAGACCACTGAGAATGGCTGTGGGAGACTGTCAGTATTGCCCTACTGCCCCATACTGAATTGAGAAGCATCCTTTGAGACTTAAAGTGATCTAAAGAAAACTAGAGGTAATTTGTTAAGTAAGGTAAAAATGGAGGAAAATGAAAGAGGGGGAATTTTGAAGTTTTTCAGGGTCAAGGCATGAGCCTTTTTTTACTTTATTTTATACAGTTTAGAAATGGATAAATTCCTGTGTCCCTTCCTCTCCTCCCCTTTCTATCCCCCCTCTGAAGAGAACCTTAGCAAACCATAACTGTGAGTCATCATTGGTTTTGTTTTCTGAGGTTGGTGGGAATTGTGCATTACTTAGAACTGTAACAGCAAAGCTTATGCCTGTGTGGAAGCTATATTGCTGGATCTTTAGTTACAGTTTCAGAAAAGATCGCTTGTTAGGTAGGAAACAGACCAAGCTTCATCTCATGTAATTCCTATAGAAGTAATGCAGCTGAATGTAAACCTTATGGAAACATTTATTTTGTGATGAGTTATAGAAAATTCCTTTGAAGTTTTGGCCTTACCATGTAGAATAGGAGTTCTTGAAGTTCAAGATACATGTATAGTCCACAGGTTTTATGCTACTTGTACAAAGCAAGAAGAATGTCATTCAAAGTGTGGAATTAAATTGTTACCTTTGTTTAAGCTGATGAAGTCACACCTGGCCCTCTTTCTGCATTTGTGTTGAGGTTTAGTCATCTTTGCTAGAAGAAGCTCACATGTTTTCTGTCCTCTTCTTCCACCCCTCCAACTTAAAGTTTGCTGTGGACTCTTACTTGTCTGACTCTTCCCCCCCACACCTCCTCCCTGTTGTCCTTGTCTTCATTTTCAGAACGTTCTTCCTGGAAGGCTACTCCTGTGCCTGATCTCCAGTGTGAGCAAGAAGGTTAATCTCAGCACTGCTAGCTGTTTAGAGCTTGACTCCACTGCCAGATAGTTCAGTGCAATTTTCTAGTGTATAATGATTCCAGATAATGTGTTTAAGCTTTTATAATTAATTAAAAATATTGCATAGTTTTTCAGATAAGAAGGTGAGTGAAATAATGTGGTTTTAAGATAGCATGCTTAGTTAAGAGCAGTATGTCAAACAGAAAGTAGCATGTGTGTATCATTCATTGGTTCATGCCTTATCCATTTTATCAGCTCTCAGCACCAACTTCTCTTATTACCAGCCCTAATGTTTTTGTGCTGCATGTGCCGTGTGCATGTATTGCCTCAGTGTGCCAAGCAGTAGTGCACATCACAGTCCTTCAGGTAATCAGAAACTGAGTTCTTACAGGCTGAATTCGGAGAACAGGCTGCAACCACAACTGACCGTGGTAGTGATCTGGAGCAGAGTTAGGGCTGAACTCCTGCTGTGGCGTGCAACAGGATTCCTGTATCAGCTGCTGAAGGCAATTGTCATGGCAGCTGCTCGCATAAGTTACGTGTACCTTTCTAGCAGAAAGCAGTTCCTGCTCTTTCTGTCATCTCCATGCTATTTTACAAACTCACTTTTTCTTCCTAACATTGTTTCAGCTGCTAAGTAGACCTATGCACCTGCAATGTATCAGACTGTAGTTTCAGAAGCTGTATTCTTCAGGAATATTTTCATATTAATGACAAAAATAAACTGCATTGTTTCATTGCTGATCACAATGCAAACTTCTATCTCAGTTTTAAAGTACAAGACCTACAATGTTCTCACAGAATGACTTGGATGTTATTAATGATGAAAGTTTTGTTTTCCCCACCTTTCTAACAGTTATTACAGAAAATGAAAACAATAAATTGACCGTGGTGGTGCCAGGTAGTTGCATGAGAATATCCCATTTAAAACCTATGTCACTAAGACCAGTTTGTAGGGGGGAAAAAAAAAGAGTTATCAGAAACCTTTTTGCACCCTACATCCTTTAAAGGTATTCACTCTCAAACTGTAGAACAAGGCAGTGGCTAGACCAAAGAATGTGGCAGGTTTCCAAATAAACGAGGCTGGCAAGAATGGTTTGAGGACTAGCCTAATCCTACTGGATACTAGTTTGGCCACAAGGATACATGTCATTATAACCCAGCAACTTCCTTGTTGAATGAAGGCAGTGCTTTAAGAAAGCAGCAGCTATTTGAGGCAATGTAATTTTAAAGTAATAGGAATTTGAAAGGATTTCTTGAAGGGTGTGCTGTACTGCTCCAGCACTGTGACTTAAATGAATTACATATTTCAGGTCATATCAGTAGGAGAAATTTTCACAATGGCTGAGTATGGAATGTGATTAGAACAGTAAATATAACATTTGGTTCTAAATATAAAGCCTTGATTCTTAACGTCTTGCTATAATGTCAGATGTTTCTGTTTAAAATAAAAGTAGTAACTAAGTTTTTTGCTATAGGGAGGAAAGAGTGCTTTCCTAGTACAGTACTTCTGAGTTACCTGGTGGCAAGCAAACTGAAATGTATTTATCTGTGAGGTAAGAGCAAAAAGGACTTAAATCTAAATAAAGAACTCTAAATAGTACCTCTCATTTCAGATCCAATTCTCTGCCTTATGGTCCTAGAAGGAACAGAATGCCAACAGTAATGACAGCAAATGAGGGGTTAAAGACAGTCTGACATCGCAACTCTTTTTAATTCAACAGATAGAAGTTTTCTACAAATCAGCTTCTCATCTAAATGTATATAAAACATACTTTTGTATCGATGTGTTACTTTTTAATATTTTTTTTTCTTAAAGATTCTTTCTCTGTTTATACTGGGTTTTCTAGCAGGGTGAAATTGCAGTGTGTTGCTGTCAGAATTTGTCCTGCTTCTGATTCTTAGGGCTGAACAAACCCAGTTCTCTTGTCTTCTCCGGGGAGTGTGACACATGCTCCAGCTCCCTGACCACCTTGGCAGCTATCTGCTGGTCGCCTGCTTCCCTATGTTGATGGCTTTCTTGTGCTAGGAAACTCTAAATAGGACATGGTGCTCCACTTGCAGTCTCACCAGTGCTGAAAGCAGAAGGCAGCTTGCTTTCTTGGACCTGCTTGCTGCTCTGATAGAACCTGGTATGTGGCTGGTCATTACCACTGCAAGGTCACACTGCTGACTTATGGTCAGCCTGTCCCCAGGGCACACAAGTCTTGCTTTATAAAGCTTTCTAACTAGTTGGTGCCCAACCCATACTCTTGCTTGGGGTTATTTCTGCTAAGAAGGACTTTGAATTTGCCTTTGTTAAACTTAAGGATGTTTCTGTCAGTCCGTGTGTCCAGCCCATGTGGTACTGCTTCTCTAGCACTGACTGCTTGCTTTCTTTTTCTTCCTGCTGCCTCTCACTGCCATGTCTGGCAGCTGCTCCCCAACTTGTCTGTTATCTACACAATCAGAAACCTCTTCCTAGAGGGAGTTGGGTTGGGCAGACATGACTTGGGTTGGGTTGACCCATACTGGCTGTTCCCAATCCCCATTTCCTTCATGTGCCTAGATATGGGTTCAGGGAGGAACTGCTCTAACCTCTGGGACTGAGGTCAGGCTGCCCAGCTGGTAGCTCCCTGAAGATGGGTGTGACATTTGCCTTTTTCCAGTCATCAGGAACCTCCTGATTGCTGTGACCTTTGCCATATCATAGCGAGTGGTATGGTGGTGACACAAGCCAGCGCCCTCAGCAGCCACCCTGTCAGGTCCCGCGGAGAGGTGTGTGTGTCTGCAGGGTAAGGTACTCTGTTTCTGCCAGGAGATGCTGGTACATATGATCTCAATAAGGAAGACAATTGGACTCTGTAAAGTACTGTTTAAAATGCTAGTTATTAGAGCTAGTGCTTTCGGATAAAGGCAAGGCCACGCAGGGGGCACAATCCCTGGCACCAAGGGGGAGCTGCCTGGCGGCTCTTCTGGGACCATGCGTTGCCAGAGCCGGTCCTGCAGGGGGGATTTACGTGCCCGATGCAGCCCGAAGGTTGCATGGGGTGTGTACGGCACCAGCCCCATGGCGGGGGTCACTGACCCTTCCATGTATAGAGGTCTTCTGGCCAGGATTGCTGCACACCCTGTGCTGTCCTCTGCAGCAGGTTGTGCTACCTTCCTGCAAATCCTGTTAGCAGGCTCAGGGAAATGGGAGGCCAGAAAGCAAACCTAACCAGTGAAAAACAAGGTGAAAAAAAAAAAGCATCGAATACTTCAGTCTTTTCCCACATCCTTTGTCAGTAGGTCCCCTCTCTCACTGAACAGTGAGCCCCATTTTCCTCAGTCTTCCTTCTGCTCCTGATGCATTCACAAATGCCCTGTTTGTTGCTCTTCTCATCCCTATATGCTTGACCAGTGTCCCTATATTCTTCCTGAAACTCCTTCCATGTACTCACTTCCTTTTTTACATCTGAGCTCAGTCAGGGGTTCACTGCCCCTCTGTGCCAGTGTCCT